ACAACTTCGGGGCCCTTTCCTGACTTTCTGGGCTTCTTTTGTTTTTGGAATTGGTCGGGGAGGTAGCTTCGACCCTTGATGCGATGATGATATTCGTCTGTCCAGTCACATTTGTCCATGGTATTCCCATTTATTCGGATGTCATAATGACTGCACACATTGCACTGGACCACGGCAACTGATACTGAGCATTTGTTGGTCACACCATCTGAGAGATCCTTGGCTGTTCTTGGGAGTCTCGCTTGGAGAATGGCCCGCTCCCAACTCCCGTAGAGATGTGCTTCCTTTTTCCGGTCGTTTTTGGCCTTTGCAATATTCCATGCCGCCACTCGATCATTCTGGGCCTTCGCTGCTGCCATCGATTCTGCTGTTCGTCCGTAACTATTAGAGATGGAGATCAGCGGCATCCATACATTTACGTTTAGACCTACCGATTTGCTGATCGCTAGAGTGATGTTTTTGGGGGAAGTTGAAGGAACCATTCCTCAAATTCCGGACTATTCGGATGACAGTTTCCGGGACCTCTGACAGTGGAGTACATGTCGGACGAGTCCGTAACTGCGGTATTCGTGCGGATCCCTTCCAATTGCTGTCGGCGAATTGTACGACTTCTTCCCCACAATGGTCCTGATCAGACGACCATCTGATACTCGTTTACTGTTGAGAGCAGCATAAGCCACCTCCACCTGCTTGAGCTTGGCGATTGCCTCGTCCAGTCTCTTGTCGAGGCCTTGCCGGGCAAGGGTACGTTCCACACGATCTCTGACCCTTTCCAAGAATGCCCTCCTCGAATTCGGTTGTGGTGGGTCGTTATGCACCTCGTCCTCCAGGATCCTCTTCATGACATGCACTTTGAACGTGACGAGGTATTCGACCATGACTCTGTATGTACGGAGTGCGGGCTGGTAGAACTCGTAGCCCGGGTGTAGATTGCTGATGAATAATGAGCAGCGATCTTCTTCTGTCCCAGTTTGGATGATCTGGAGCTTCCCCACGAGACTGAGGTGAAGAGTAGATGGCCGTCCGCCAAGAGTGCTTTAGACAGCGTCAGTACAGCTCTGCAGCAAGGTAGTAACGACTCACCCTGGAACCAGCTTCACGCGGGAGCACCGAAGGAATGGGGACCTGTGTCGCCCTCCCCTTTCCCTTTGCCGTCCTAGAGGGACCAGCATCCTGTTCGACTATAGGCGGAGCATTGGGCTTTGCTTCGCGGCCCTTTCCTTTAAAGGGATGAGGCCGTTCCGTAGGAGCCATGTCCGGAGAAGATTCCACCAGTATAGGCGGAGATCTGATGTCATTCTCCTCCTGTGGCGGAGCTCGAGGGGACGAATCCACCTCGATTGGGTTCGCATGCGATCCACCTCGCTCTGGGGACGAGTCAATCATGATCACGTCCATCTTTCTCCTCTTGAAAGGGCGACCGCGTTCAAATTCTTCGGCCTGCTGCGCCTCTGCTCTTTTGGATACGCGTGCAAAAATTTCGACAAGGTTCTGGTCATGTAAACGGGGGCGCGCGCTAGGCCCCTGGAAAGAGCCAGAGCCGCTGCCGCCAGCCTGACCAGAAGAAGCTTTCTTGAAGGACCTTTCATGGTAATTAGGGTATTTCGAGTGCAAAGTGATCTCTTTGACTCACATTCTGCGCGAGCGAGTAGAAATGGACAAGAGTCGAGATGGTATCCGGGTTGCGAGGAAAGCAAAAAAGATGAGATGTACTGTGCGAGAATGGAATAGAGAAAGAGTTTCATACTTTTGGCAATAGTCTACACGAATGGTGCAACGTACAGGTTAGCAAGATAGTCCGGAAGTAAACGTCAAGTCTGAAACTTGCCTATTCGATTGGACAGTGGACGGTAAGGCGAATTTCTCGATTTTATCGACGTTTTGTTATGATTCTTTTTCGATGGCCTACGGATGGGAAGATTATCATTCATGAGTACGTGGGTTATTTTAATTTCGTCCTCCCTTGACTTACATACCGTTCCCGTTTGTGGGAATGGAGGACGGCAGGGAAGTCGGGATGGAGAAGTTCAGGAGGTCAAAAGTCGAAGATGGTGTTGAGTAGGAGACAAATAGCAAGACGCGGCCTATTTTGCCTTAATGCAGGGTCAGATAAGTCTTATGGTATTAGAAAGATATTAAACCGAAAGTTCTGTTGCTCACCTAAATTTGAGGCAGAACAGACCAGAGCCAAGGTACAGTGTAGTACTATTGATGCAAATGGTTTGTACTAGAGACCAGGGCAAGTGGGGTCGG